GGGGATTTTTGTCCCTTCTTATAGATTGCAACAACCAACCATCGAGATCAGTTAGATGAGATTTCGTTCGGTTTCCAGATTTTAGATAAGATCTTGGATAATTTAACTGCCAAAACTGGGCGACAGTCCTAAAAACTCCCAGAAGTTAGTACATCAGACCCTACTGTTCTCCATTGCTCTAGATTACCTATAGCCTTTTCGGCCTTACTGAAAATTGGGGGACTTGTATCAGTCCTCTACATTGACAAATTGAGGTCAAATGAATTTCCATACTTGGACCCTGTGTATTCGTTTTAGAGATGCAACATACATCAACAGCACGAGATTCTCGAGTCCTGGCTTAATAAACCTGTTTTCCTACCTGACACGAGGTGTGAATATTAAAAGTTCCAATATGTAATTTAGAGCATGCTTTCAGGAGTCTAGGAATAACATTTCGTGAACCCAAATCACTAGAATTGGTGGTCAGTGCTGATTAAGAAAAATGAGAAGGGTTAGTTGTGGGTTTAAGAAAATTATTAAGAATTGAGAGTGGGATTCAATCGTCAACAAGACGATCTCGGATGCTGATAGAGATATGAGAGCGGTTATCACTCCCTGGTTGCACGCATTGTGAAAGGATATTTTTTCTCGAGAGATTTGTAAGAGAAGCTGAATTGGTAGTTATATTAGAGGTCTGAGAGTGCGACCGCAGAGCCCAAGGAACAACTATTTGAGGCCGGTAGCGCACAGTCCTCTTATGGGAAGTTCTTGATGTGTACGCTTCTCGCTACCTTGCCATCGGAGCTTAATTTACTGCTTTTAGACTTTCCATTCTCCAACCGACCTGCCTGGCATGAAAGGACCTATAGGAACATGTGTTCCAGTCAATACAGCCCAGTCGATTCATTACGATACGGAAGCCCTATCACCACGTCAAGGTGGCAGCTAAGGTCGGGACACTATTAAGTATGGTTCCTGTATCCGTTGTAGATACACTCGGCATAAAAATTTCTTCAAAATCACTTATCGAATGATCAATATTTGCTACATTCAACAAACCATTGAATATGTAATGTCGATTAATATGTCAAGCTCACATAGCTTATTCTATTCTCTGAACAGATCAATCTATTCAATCATCTCAAGCCATATTTTTTATCGTGTCATTTATTCGCTTATCGACCTTGACTGGTCTTATGTAAGGGTATGTGTATACATTTCCTATCTTACTTATCACATGTCTGTAACTTATTTTTGTCTGACTATAAATATCGATTCACGCTTGGTTAAATCGAGTTGGCTCACTCGCCTTCACCATTGCGTGTCATTTCGTTTTGCTTCGCTTTCCGATCAACGATTGTACGGAATATACGAATTCGGAATCCGTTCACGTACTTGACTTATTTAATTTCATTATTTACCAACGTGATTTAAGTCGATGATAAGCATATTCGAGGGTTGATGACATGGATATTTCAATAATAAGCAGCAAACAATCTACCTGGAGTCAAATCTTCGGGCTATTAAAAATGTTTTGTCCTTGTTTAATGGAATAATGGATTGGTCCATTATTAAATTAAATTATCTAATCTAATCTTTACTTTTAGACTTTATTCCTTCCCTATCTGACTTTCTTCAGATTAACGCTATGCTACATAGTTATCAGTTGTGTCAATTACATTTTACAACATGTAGGTTTTGGAGTGTTGAACAAAATACATTAATCTCAGATTCCTTTATCCCCTTGTCTCAGTATTTGATTCTTTTTAAATATTATAGCTTAATCATTTTGTGCATGATAATCATAGAAACTCTGTGAATTTGGACAGCTTGGCTCGGGATAATACTTGTTTCATTTTTCCCACCTGTAGATAATCTCACTCCAGTTGACACGACTGAGTAAACATTCCTAATATCGGTTAATAGTAAGTTATTTATCAGTGTGGATATCTCAGTCACAAAGAAAACCAGTTACAGTTGCAATAGTTAACTTCACCGATTGCGAAAGGGAATGAGTCAGGTTTGAAACCAATAAGGAGCATCAGTTTCATCAAGATCATGGGTACCCCTAACTAATAAGTGCTAACCAGTATGAAATTTAAATCTATCTGTTTCTGCAGATTTCTTCCAACCATTTGTTATCAACCAAAGTCCCCAACAATGTTTTGCCATTTAAATCAGTAGCTAAATAGTAACACGGTCAGTAAAATTTGATTAGTATTGATAACAATACAATGTAAAATTGATTACTACTCAATTACCAGTTACCCCGCACAATATTCACTGATTTTAAGGTTGTGTAGAGTCGAAAGGTTTAATTTGCTTGATAGTTTCATAACTGTAGTTCATATTTCTTCTCCCCTTCAGTTAACTATAGCTGCAGATTATTTATAGTTTATTAGATTTATTGTCAATTACTTCTTTTAATCAACTTAAATTGATTTAGAATAGATTCTTTGCAATCGTTTAAACTATCTCGCTGTTGTTATTAAGAGATATGGCTGATCTGTCTCTGTTGGTACATGTGCAAATTCAATAAACTGTCTCTATGCGCTCTTTAGTTATAAGTTTCAAGTCATAATGAAATAGGAGATGGAAGTGTATTCAGCTGAAGAGTCCAAAACACTATGAAAAGCGTGTACTGAATCCCATCGCTAGTCATAGTGAAAAAATATTAAGATAGATTAATTGACAGTTTTTCATGAAATAAGATTTTCGCAATATATAAATAAAAGAGTAAAAGTTCACTTGCATTGCCCATTACTAAACACTATTCAGGTAGGTTACATTATAAATCAGGGTTCCGTTTCAATAGTATAACGCGTATTCACAACTGATGATGTTTAATTTAATCAAAATAAACAGATTCTATATCCAACCTTCTAAAAATATGTTATCATTATTCTTCACTAAGGTGGTTTGTAGACATTTTGTTTGACAATGAAAACAATTTTCATCGAATACTAATATTATCTGAAGAATCGAAATTGGACAGCTGTTTAAGTACGGTTCCTTAATGATTCTTTGAGAAATTTCATTTAACAGTTTTAAACAAGACCTAACCTCTATAGTCTTAGAATATTTAGTAAACAGGATTATTTTATAATCCTAAGTTGTGTAGTGCTGATTCTTAAATATTGTCAAATTAGAATAGAATCAGTTGTTCAGTTTCCTACTATTTTTCGACAATTCTCCGGTTGATGTTAATTCATGATTCACAAAAATAACTCGCGAGGCGGGATCGTGGATACACACTGCAGAGGAGTCCCACAATAGGATGAAAAGACAGTTCAGTGTTTCCAGGTTCTCCATGGTGGTCTAGCTTCCATTCACTCGTGATCTCAACTAATAAAATTACTATAATACTCACAAAACTCCTTCTCATACTAATCAACATGCTCACTAGTGACTGGCTTCAAGAGCTATCTCCTGGAGTTCTAGTGAGAAACAGTGACCAGTGGAGTTCAACCGGGTCTATTGTGAGATATTAAATGACTGATGACAATGGTGGATGTCGCTCAATTTCGTGGATTAGTTGAAGTTAGACATTAACACCGTTGGATCCCGATAGGCTGAGTGGTCTAGAGGTTAAGCATTCACGCGCGAGACTGATAGGTGCTGGGTTCGAATTTCGCGAGGTGGGATAGTGAACGCGCACTATTGAGGAGTTCCACAATGGGACGAAACGACCATCCAGGTTTTCTTTGGTTGTCTAGCTTCAATTGAATCATGATCTTAACCATTGAAATTACTATAAAATCCACTAACCCCGTCTGAAATATCTCCAAATTAAATATCCTTAAATTTCATTAACAATAAGGTCCCTTTTGATTTCTTCATATATAAAATAATTTGAGGATAAAATCACCCTCTCAGAAATATAATTATGCCATAAACTATCTGTAAGCATACAGTGAGCAATACTTCGATAAAAATCAATGAAACTTTGATGAGACATTTTATAAATATTCTCTATTAGATAGTATGTTTATGGGAAATGGGATGATAGTACCAGCTTATTAAAATACTTTCTGATGAAAGCATTTTAACTAGGTGAAAATGGAATTTGAAGTCCAATATATAAAGGAAACTTTTCTGTGAACATACGTTAGACATGTTCAAAATTTAATTAGATGTCTACCGACAACTCAACAATCTATCCGTAGATATAAGATAGTTAGAGGTGAATAATGTGCAGCTCAAGATCTTACATCCGGGATACCAAGGCCAATCTGTTATCTTGGAGAAATTGATGCTTTTTGTGAAACTTATTTTACCATGTATCAGCGACTGATATTGCGTTGCTAGAGCCACAGGTTACATTCTATAAGATTGAGATTTTTACTCTGATAGATTATTAGCAAAACTGAAGAAAACTGGTACTTGCTACAGGAAACAGAAATTTTTAAGGTCCAAAGGGGGAAGTACAGTGTATAAAAGACGATTTATTATGCGCCGAAAATAGGACATCAGCGTCGGAATACACTGAATTCTGTGCTTTGCTTATACTGATCTATATTCATACTTGAATACATTCAATCGGGCAATAAATGAATATTAATTATCCAGTAACTTAATGTATGCAAACGATTTTGGATGTTCACAGATAAAACTCCTTTAATTCATAAATTAATTAATTTACGGAGTTAGGTGGTTTGCTACTTTCTAACAATCACTTAAGTATCAACCTATATCAAATCTGAACCTTTAAGCTTGTTGTATTCTATCAACTTGATGTCACAGTCACCTTCGCTTAATCCTAATTATCTAGAAGCAATAGAAACTGATCTCTACAGTCTAATAGTCATCACTATGCTAAATGGTTACGGTGTGACAGTTTAGGTTGTCAAATTTCAACCTCTGGATAAGGAGTTCAACCCCGATAGATACATATACTGATAATCCTTATAATTCCGATTCTTCAGTTACAAACACTTATTATCAAATATTATATTATATTCCAAAATGAATACGGTTGTAAGCATTTGATGGAAACACACGAAATAAAAACGAAATCATATTATTCTGCGTCAGTTTTTTTTTGCATTATTCAAATTTATAAAGGGAAAAACTTATTGTATGAAATCGCATTACAATATTAACTTTACCAAAAAAAGAATAAGAATTTGAAATAAAGTAAAATCATCAGCATATCATATTTCATCTTTGATTATGGGAGAGAACAAACCAGATTCCAGCACAGGAAGAATTGCTGGAAGTGGATAGGACAGGCGTAAGTTTGGAAATGAAAGTTTACCTAATCAACATAAAAGTCTGAAAAACGAAACAATAGAAGAATGAAAAAAGGAAAAAATCCGTTAAAACAGAACAGATCAATGAAGACTAACGACTGATCATATAAATATGTTCACAAAAAACCTTCAAATTAGTTAACGAATAAAACAGTTAAGTCCATTAATAATTTTCAGTGAAGAAACTATTCTTTCACCTATGAAAATGTTAGACTAAACAATTTTGAGAGGCTTCTTATTACTACTTACACGATGTTACAGTGCTTCACCATGTAGTTCATAATATTTCATTGTGATAATAATATTATTATTACTATTATTATCGCGTGCATGGATTTTAATATATTTATGTCTCATCCTACCAGAAGATATAGAAGAAGAAAGATATGAATGAAGGGGATGGTTGGTATCTGATAACACCTGCCAGGAGTTTACAAGACTTTAGATGTCCATCCAAAACCATATTACTAATGACTTCAAAAGATCCACCACACACCTTCCTAACTACCTTCAGCACTCTCTGTAGCACATCAAAGTATTTTTCTCAGAAGCCCGGGAAAGAATAATGGAGAACAGTAAAGAATAATAGGTAATATGCAGGAATCGACTAAATGTAAGAGTAAACGTTGAGTAGTCCCAGTATAATTACGAAGTAGAGATTTGCTGATCCAGATACACATACAATAGTCCCGCACTCGACCCATGTTAAATGAAAGATTATATTGTAAATCCCACAAGCAGCTTGAAAACCTCAAAATAATCATTTACATTCGTATTTAGATCCCGTCATGAATCAACACACTTGATCAAAGGTATCACCTAAAAGTAAACCCGAAAACAACCAAAGTATATTAAGTGAACCCCTAAATAGCATTGTGTAATTAGCAGATAAGTACATTTTTCATGGTCACACCTACGGAGTTCAGGAGATTCTTCACGGCGACCACGACTAACAGAATTATATTGGCAGTTTTAGCTCACGTCATAACTACAGAAGGGTTGAGTGATAAAAAGGCGAGTTAGAAAATATTGTATCCAGAATTGCACCTGGAACAAAATTAAACAATCATAGGTTTTAGACTTGATAGAAAGGAATTTCAACCCAGTTCTGTTTTTTAAGAAAATCGCTAGATTTTGTCTTTTTTATATGAATAATTAGGAATTTCTAAACTGCTCAAGGACTTATCCTCGTTCACATGATCGACTACAAAGTTTTAAAAGCATAAGAAAAGCAGATATGAACAATTTGATACGTTTGGCAAGTTATCTCGACAATGAAAGACACTGGTACAAATCTGATATGTTAACAGTCGATCCTTATCTTTACAGATGAGAGCCCGTATTTTTACCCCAGAATCTGGAATATAATCTGATTCGTAAACTCTAGGCACAATCTGAAATATACTAGGTTTTTATATCCAAAGACCAGATTCGTGTGTCAAGTTTTTGAGGGATTTGGGATTTCTAAGACTCATAAGGCCGAAACAAACCTACAATGAATCAATAAAGCTTTTGAAGCTTAGTTTCTTATCAATCAGTGAACAGTAATCGATGTTATAACGTATTCTTTAGGGTCGATAATATTTTATAATCTAGGATTTGAAGCGTAACCGGTAAATTGATAATTTATATATTACCGTACTTCATCTACGTTTCGGGCGAATGAACACAATTAACTGTAGTTAATTGGTCAGGGCTTTATGCATGTGTTAATGAGATTTGCCTGTAAAGCCAAGAAAGTGCATAGTCTTGCGAAACAATTAGGAAGTATTCAGCAACCACACTTCGAGACTTCGTCAACCTTGCGCTGTCTGTACAAAAATCGCTTTCAACAACCGAGCCAATTTTGTGTAATTGGTTCCCTTTATTCCAACCCAACTAATAGTTTGAGAAAACATAACCCAAAAACACTAACAAGGAATATCGATCATGAAGCAAACTACATACCCAAGACATAAAATTGTATTTGCCCCTTGGTACGGCCGAGGGTGAAGAGGGTCCTCTCCCCTTCTCAAAATGCTCTCACATGGCCACATTTATACAGCCATTGCCAGAGAGGTCCTACTCACTGCCTTTTCATGGCGGGGGTGTTGTTTACAAAATTGAGAGGACGAAAAGCGAACGTTCGGCACTTTAATCAAGTTGGTGGGAACAAAGAGTCCATGTGGAGGAGTTGGAAAACCCTGATCTCAAGCCGATGGTACACATGATCTCCAGTATCCTGAAAGGACAAATGGCGTATGAACCAATTGTTGATCATCGACCGCCATGGGACTGCATCTCCTAATGTTGCTGCACTGTCTTGTGGATCAGACCTTTAGGTCAACGGTTCTGGGTGTGGCCCTCTAAGAAAACCATCTGTTTCGGTTTGGATGCCCTAGCAGTATTACAGCCCTCACATAGATCAATGATAACCGCTACTGGCCTCATTGTTATTGTGTGGCGCATATGTATTTGGTGCCCTCCTTGGTTGATGCGTTCAAATAAATGATAAGTTTAGAACATTTAGTAATCACTCATATATTTTGACAAAAATAAAATCACAGTTTCAACATCAATAACTATACATGTGACTAAAGAAATCGGAGAATAAACCAGCACATGAGGAAAATGATGCACACGAATACAATTACATAACAGCATAATCCAGAGGATAAATTCTGTTTAGCCATTCGAGATAATCGAGACATTGTAGAGCGAAGAACACCTTCGGACCGATCAAAAGCTCCGGCCATATCTCCGAGTAAGCTATTTTGAGATCGTAATTCATCTCCTATTTTTATCGAAAGACTACGAAGTCCATCGACTTTCTCTCTGAGTTCAAGGTTGAGACGGTCATGATCATCATGTACAGGACTTGGCCAGTATTCTAAAGTGCTACTAGCTAAATTTGCAGATGCATCAATCCTCGCATGATTCGGCTGAGAATGAACATATTTATCGCGAGAAGTCATGAAATTACAGGAATTTGAATGTATTTGCTATGTGCACCTCAGATCCATTTAGTGCACCGCACAAAACAGTTGTCAAGATACCTATAAAATCAAGAGATAAGCCAGTTTTTTGTTAATGAAGTGGTAATAAACGTTTATAAACAAACAGTGTACGCAGACCAAAATATGTAAAAAAAACCCAGTTTATTTTATAAGAATCCTTCCAATTATACTAACTAAGCAAAATGAAAGGATGAGAAGAATATACATATTTGCTAACGTTAAATTATGTGAAGAGATCATTAAATTGACTTCGAACCGAACTCCGGCTACCAATCAATCAGCCAATTTGACGTTTTAGATAAACAAAGAATAAAATAGAAGAGTCCTTGTGGTGCTGTCTGTTTCTTTCTCTTTTCAATGGCACACAATTTACGGTAGTTTTATTTGCCAATCAATGTCATTTTTTGTTTAGTTGAAAATGTCTTTTCTTTCTCTAATTTCCTATTGCCATTATTGCAAGGTATTATCAACTAGGATGAATGAATTGTGCCCACTACCGACCAACTCAATCATAACATTATATCAAATGAATGATATATAAAGGTGTAGACTTTACATTACACATCATAACACAGATAAGAATATCATAGACAAGCAGTTTAGAAAATATATTTATTCGAATACATAAATATTGGCACAAAGGGGTACCAAATACATATGCGCCACAAAATAACAATAAGAATGTGAAGAAATAGAGAATATAAATGCGTATAAGAGAAAGGAGAACAGCAACGAACAGAAATTAGTGTATGACAGTGAAATAATAAAAATGGGAGAAGTAGTTCAGTTAGCAAACGTACAACCAGTTAAAGAGGTTATGTCCACTTTTATGAAGAAAATAAAAGTTACAGCGGGATAACCACTGGCTTCTATTCTGAGCCATATCTGATAATGTCTTAAGCCACTGGGCTGCACCATCTCACGGACCCCAACCAGGGAGTCGTGAGGGACCAACAAAAGCCAGCCTTTGCAGCTTTCTTTTATACCCCGACACCATGTCATACACTGACCACTTCTCTGCCTTTTCCAACCAGTCCCAGAGTCGGCAAATAATGCACGACGTGGAATTCTCTGGGACGACATTCGTAGAACATGTCCAAGCCACCGAAGTCGGTGTTTCAAGATGGTGACATCAACTGGATTATCGTCTCTGTGCCCGAACACACGATGCCGAACCTCTGCATTACTAACATGATGTTGCCACTGGATGTGAGCCATCCTTCGGAGACAACGATGATCAAACACAGAGAGTCGTCTAACATCTTCAACTTGGAGGCCAGGTTTCATAAGCATAGAGCAGAACTGCTCTCACCGACGCGTTGTAGATCCGACCTTTTACAGCCAGACTGACATCACGAGGGTGCCAAAGATGGCCCAGATTGGTATAATCCGCTCGGGCTTTCACTATACGTGCATTGATCTCATCACTCACGCCACGATCAGCACTTATGTAGCTACCTAGATACACGAACTACTCGACTACTTCTATCTGCTCACCATCCAGGGTGAGTACAGGATTAAGATCCTGCCAGTCTTGTAGAAGTACTTTGCACTTCGAAGGTGCAAAGCACATACCGTACCTACGTACATTGATTGCCAGGGCTGCCCACTCTCCCCATTCTTGTCCAACTTTGTGGTCGACGTACTTTTAGAGATAACACTTTCCTCGTCTAGATTTCCAGGGGTTGAACTTCTACCAGGAGGTTCACTTGTTGACTTAGAATATGCTGATGACAGTTTTATTTGGTGAAGACGCTGACAAAATGCAGGGTCTTCTGACCACTCTAAGCAACAATGCAAGCATGTTCGGGATGCGATTCTCCCCATCGAAATGAAAATGTTGCTTCAGGATTGGGTTGCATTGACACCTGAACTAATGATAGGGAGTGAAGTAATTGAGCGTGTCGATCGCTTCACTTATCTGAGAAGTTTCATCAGCCATTGTGGTCTGGTGTGTGACGAAATCTCAGCACGGATACAGAAGGCTCGACTAGCTTCTGCCAAATTGCGTCATTTATGGCGTAGGCGAGATATCTATCTACCAACCAAAAAAAGTGTTTACTGCTCAGCATTTCGTTCTGTCCTACTTTATACCAGTGAAACATGGCCGGTAAGAGTAGAGGATATTCGTAGGTTACTAGTATTCGATCAAAGGTGTCTTCGAAACATTGCTCGTATATTCTGGGACCATCGAGTAAGTAACGCATTTGTTAGGAAACGGGTACTAGGTAAGGATGGCAAATCAATTGATGAAGTAGTGAAACTTCATCAGTTGAGATGACTGGGACACGTGTTACGTATGCCCAACCACCGACTGCCTCGATGTGGGATGTTCAGTGGTATAGGGATAGGTTAGAAGAAAGATAGGGGCGGCCAGACCAAAACATGAAACAAGTCCATGAAGTCACTGACAAGTGGTTTGAGTCATATCGGTAGATGTAGACTACCTGCTTGGGGACCGCGAAATGATAGCAACCGATGGTTAGAGACCCTGAATGACATGGCTCAAAATCGTTTGCAACTGTGCAGATACATCCACTCTTTGTGTTCTCCCAGATTTTGATCTCCTTATTCCTCCTTGTCTCTTTTTTTCTCTTCCCAAATTTATTTCACTGTATTATACTCCTTGAATAACATCTCCAAACACTAATTTTCCTGATTACTGCTTATACTCTTGTTACCTCTACCACTACGGGATTTGAATCGACCACTGCATCTCTGTGTTAATGTGGTGTGGCAACTCGAACTGATGTACGTACGTACGAAGTTCTACGTTGTTACTGACTGAAGTGCGGATTGCATGACTTGGGCATTATCACACAGTGAGACAATATCATCCTCATACTCAATGTCGAGAAGTCTTTCTCCAGGCAACAGATCCACACCATTCCAGGTAGTTACCAGATGCAGCTGCTGCTCCCATCTCATTAGCACTCTCCGACCACCAGGCTTCTCGGTCTTTAGGCAAGCTTTGCCCGACTTCATTACGTTACAGTCCTCATTTCTGGTCAAACTCACGGTCACCTGGAGTAGATCGACGGGCTTCGATGAGTTGTAAGGAGCCTGAACAAACCCAGTGTTTATAAGCGGGACGTTTCGCGAAGCCGCGAGCGGCTTTACTCGCCATTTTCATGGCGTCGTGAATTTGCAACCAATGCTCATCTATACTTTTCGGTGGAATGGTAGCTAGCTTAGAAGCTAGCTCGGTTCGATACTTACTTGCAACAGAAGTTGCAACCAATTCGCTGACATCAATCCTTTGGTGACGATCACTTCATTCGCCACTGAAAAGTAAAGTAAGATTGGCGCAGACCAGGGCATGATCAGAATTCAGATAGGTACTTCAAAAGGAGCGGCAGTCTTGCGCATAACCACGCCAGCGGTAGCTGATCGCGGTGTGATCAATCTGAGTCCAGGCTTGAGATGCAGAGGGAGGACGCCAGGTGGCACATCGGCGATGACTGTGCCGAAAGCTAGTGCTAGCCAGAAACAGGTTGTTGTCTGTGCTTAGTTGCAGCAGACGGTCCCCGTTATCTGTCTTGCGACCAACAAGTCCCCATCGGCCATTTAAACGATTCTCATCTGTGCCTAGATGCCCGACCAGAGCGTTCAAGTCTCCGGCTAGTACTACAATATCTGTCGAACGCACTTTCTGGAGAAGAACTGATAACTGGTGGTAGAATTCATCCTTGATTGCATCCGGGCTGCAATCTGTCGGGCATAGGCGAAAATGACGAAAAGACATCGTTTCTCATGCCGGTTTCTTCTCACTTGGATAGAACTTTCTAATCTAACAGCACATAACCGACCGTTAATGGGAATCCAACCGATTAGTGCTGCCTCAGCTCTAGCGTTTAGTGCGACATCAACGCCAGCAAGACCAGACGACGCCACAGGGTCCCCGGATAAACGCACGTAAAAAAAGCGTTTTGAAGCGACAGATTACTTACTTACTTACGCCTGTTACTCCTCGTGAAGGAGCATAGGCCGCTCACCAGTGACAGATGGAGAGCAAAATTGTAGTACTTCACCAGTCTTGAATACGAGTCTTGGATAGACAACAAACGTTGATATTACGACTTTCCAAAGACATAGCCAGCCCTATATGTTGTCCGATCGGCATTAGTGTGCGAACGTTGAAGGCAGCCAGTTTGAATGGTGCACGTGTTTTCAGAAAAACTGTTTCAGTATTCGTGTTCGGTGGTAGCATTCAATTTTCGACCAGTCAGTGACTCGAGATCGTTTAGATAGAAAAGAGTTTCCACCAAGGGCGAGCTACTGTATAAGTTGAAAAATAAGAATACATAAAGTGGGAATGAAAGAGTGAATAGAATTTTCAGTAAATATCGTCATTTTCATTTTATTTGTGTGTGGGCTGGGATACTGCCCGGGTGATTTTCTTAGGAGGCCACACCCCGAGCCTTTGACCTGAAGGTCTGACCCAGAAGACAGTGGAGCATTGTGAGGAGATGCAGTCCCATGGTAGCCGGTGACTAACAATTGGTTCATACGCCATTTGTTCCCTCAGAGTACTGGAGCCCATGTGCACCATTGGTTTGGGATCCGGTTAAATCGCCGGACATTCGCTTTTCATCCTCTCAATTTCGTAAACAACACCGCCGCCACGAGAAGGCAGTGAGTAGGACTTCCCTGGCAGAGGCTGTATACGCGTAGCCGTGTGAGAGCATTTCGAGAAGGGCAAGCCCTCCCCGCTCTTGGCCATACCAGGGCATTTGGGGGCCATAGGTGACGTAAGTTGTCAAAAACCAGACGAGCTTTTTAAATCCGCGCAGAGATTTCGTCAGACATCAACCCATTAGTGCTAATCAGACTTCAAAGATAAGTGAAGCTGTCAACGCGTTCGACTAATTCACTCCTTATCCTTAGTTCAGGTGTTGACGCAGGCCAGTCCTGAAGCAACATCTTGCATTTTGAGGGGGAGGATCGCATCCCAAACA